CTTACACCCTCCTTGCCACTGATTTTGGATCACTTGCTGTTCCTTTGTCCCTGGGTTGGTTAACACCACTTCCTTTCCCCAACCTCCCCCTCTCCCATGTCCCTCATGGAACAATCAGTCCCATTGTTTTCTCCTCCAGATTATTTATCCCACTTATATTATCTAGATAAACCTGCAGAGCTAATAATATGCACAAAAAAACAAGACAGATCAAAACAAAGCAACAAAAAAACCCCTGAAACAACAAAAAATCAATGACAAACAAAAAAGAAAAGCCTATAAATAGTTCAAGATCTCTTTGTTGACCTTTAGGACTGTTTTCCGGTCAAGTCTGATGGGGTGCCAAGCCCTGGCCCCGAAGTCTATTTTTGGTATTCCCTGGGGACTTCCTTGCTCTGCTCCCTTTGCTGTTCTGTTGCACGCCCTTAGTGTTTTGCCTTGGTGTGGTGGGGTCAGACCGGGTGCAATTCCCACACTGTGTCTCCATTGTTATTCCCCGTAGGGCTATGGGTCAGTGAGGGATGTGGTGAGACTGTTAATGTTTATCGGAGCAGACAGCCTTACCTTTCTCCCATGAAGTCCTTAGTGGGCTCAAACTGTTGACCTTGTGGTGAGCAGCTCAAAGTGGAAAACACTACCATCACCCCCAATTCAACAAATATCCTTTCAGACAGTTACTTTTGGTTTTGTTTCGGCAGAGAATATCTATATGGGAACTAAGGATTTGTCTTCCCAAATTCTCTACCCTCTGGGTCTTCCTTATGTCTGTCCATGTTGTTCCAGTTTTCCAGGTTCTGCAGTCCTGGGACTTCAGGCTCCCCATCTGATGGGATTCCTCCTACCTCTCCTCCTACTTGCCTTTCCAGCCTCACCGCCACCACTCCATTCAGAGTCATTGCCATTGAGTGGACCCCACGTGCTAGAGAACTTGCTCCATAGGGTTTCTTGGCTGTCATCTTTACAGAAGCAGATGGCCAGGCCTGCTTTCCACGGCGCTGCCTTTCAAACACAAACTCGCTGTGCCATGCTGGGACCTCATTCTCAATGGACTTGTTACGACATCGCTCCCAAGGCATCACTGTAGCCCCTGCGTAACCTTCCCCTCTCTCCTACGGATGTGCTTTTCAACTGCCTGTCGAAGTCCATATAGTAGTAGGTCTGTAACGGCATTGAAAGGATCAGAAAATATCCTCCCTGCCCTGACTATCAAGTACTCCTACTTACCACCAACAGGATGACCTGAGTTAACTCCTCCCCAGACAGACAACCCTGGGTCACAGGCCTGGCTTCCAGCATGACTCATGTAGGTACTCTCTGTGACTGCCCTCTCCTGGGTGCCCTAGCCCGACTGCACACTCCCAGTGTGGTCTGGCTGGTGCCGACCAGAAGGAAATGACCACTCCTTCATTGTCGAACTGTTCACCCTGTGATGTCGCTGAGATGTACTGGACCCTTTCCCAACAGTCATGACTCCCATTGCCGACTCATATCGGGGCTGTCCGCCTGCCTGGACACAGGAAGTCACTGCCTCCAAAGGCAAGCCGCATGGCCTGTCGAAGCTTTACGGCTTAGAGCCCTTCTCTGTGCTGGCACGCAACCTGTGTCTATTTACTGATGCTAAATAAATAGAATCCTTCTTTCACATAATTTGCTTGACTCCAGACAATCAAAGCACTCCAAACCATGCATGTGCTATCCGGTCAGCGGCCAGTGGTCACTACAAACCCTAGGGAGCCCAGTCCACTGCCTGGACCCATTCTCATTATTCTTGTTCTTGTCTGTCCCATTCCCCCTGGTATTCTAGCCTCCACCTGTCTCTGGCCCCACTGGCTCTAGCTACCCCCCACTGCAACCATACCCTTTGAGTCTATGACTCTCCAGTGTGACTTCTCAGCATTCCCACAGGGAATTGTCCCTGTCCTCTGGCTCTTCCTGTGATGGTCACAGGCCCTAGGCCTTAATCCCAGTCCTTAGGCCCTAATTTGATCCAGTCCCTAGGTCCTAATCCCAGTTAGGGCTCCCTTGAAGTGAGAAAACAATAATTAGTGTGTACATAGACACACACACACACCTCATGAAGTCTTGTCTTTGAGAGCTCTTACAGCGATTCCTTGGCAATTATTTCCTTTCCTGCACACACTATCCCCTGGGACTTCACTTCTTTATAACTGCTCATGTCTCTATATCTGCCTGACTCTGTTGTCATTGTGTCATGGCTCCATTGTGCCTTCCTGGCACCCAGAACAAAGCTCTGGACACATGAGAGACTCAACAGACATTGGCCAGTTATTTATAGACTGTTCCCAGAACAGTGAATGAAGGTTGATGGGATGCTAAGTAGCACTAACCTGAGACCAGCCTACTTAGCCTAGTCACCGGCCGCTGCAAGCTCTCTCGTGCCTTGCCCAGTTGAGGATGGTCTGGAATGGACTTCCTTCTCTTGGCCCTGAGTGCTTCTCGTGAAAGGGTGTTCCCCCGACTTTGCTTCAGATAGGAACGCTGACATGCAGAAGGAAGGGGAGTGACTTTGTCTGGTGCCCTAAGGAGCTAGGGTCTGTGGGGGGGTGGGTGGGGGGGGGAGTTTTGTGCACATAGATTGTGTTTTTGCAAAGTAACTGCTGAGACCCTCTCTGCCTTTTCCTCCTTGGGGCACCAATGGGGTCTTTTACTAGCCTTCTCCTGGTGTGGGTATGGAAACAGGCAAGAGGCATGTCGGATCGAGTCCTGGCCCCAGCTCCATACTCGGTACGCATCAGGAATCGATGACTGGCTCCTCCGGACTTCAGTTGTTCCTTATCTGTCAAAGGGAGGCCCCCACGGATGGCAAAGTCAAATGTCTCCAGTGGGAATATGTTTGTGTGAATGGAGTTGGATGTACAGCAAGAGGAGGTGGTGGGGCCAGAACTGCAGACAGCACTCCCTCCTCCCTTTGGAAAGCTTTGAGGCTCTTCTCTGTATAAACACCATCCTGGCTCGAGGAAAGCAAGGTGAAACAAAGTGCCCCCTGGCCAGGGTCAGCCTGGGGCATACCATTTCCAAGCCCTGCAACGGGTCTCCCAGGACCACCTTCTTCAATGTTCTGGTTTCTCTTTGCTGTTGTTGTTAGATGCCATCGAGTCGGTTCTGATCCATAGCGACCCTTTTCTCAACAGAGTCAAATACTTCCCGGTCCTGCATCATTGTTGTTTCTGAGAGAGTACCCCCCCACCCCACCCAAATGGAGAAAAGCACCACTGGGTGGAACTGGCGGAGTACAAATCCCCCCACCCCACCACCACTACTAAGTGAGCATCAAGCAACTTGCTCTGAGTTAGTGCACCCAGTGGCATCACCTGGGAAGGTTCTCTCTGGTCACAGTGAATTTTTTCATATAAGCCATTTTACCCCAACCTCATATTTTGTGCTGGCCAGTTTAAGAAAACAGCATGTGGCTGTGAAAATTTGTTTCCTGCATGGGAAAAATGCCGCAGAAACTGTTGTGATGTTGAACATAGCTTACAAGGACAGTGCTAAGGGACAACCTCAAGTTTCAGAAAAGGTGAAATGTCGATTGATAACAAACGTCGTTCTGGACATCCGTCAACTTCCCAAATGGACTAAACTGTCCACTCGTAGTGCATTTGGAGTTTGTCCCACCAGGGCAGACTGTTCATCAAGCTTTCTATTTAGAGGTTCTGAAAAGATTATGTAACAGTATGTGACAAAAAAGGCCTGATTTGTGGCTGATGGGAGACTAGATTTGCCACCATGACAATGCACCTGCTCATGCAGCCATCTCAAATGGCTGCACCAGTTTTGGGCAAAAACCAGCATGCTTCTCTTGCCCTATTCGCCTCACTCACCTGACCTCACTCTGTGCAACTTCTTCTTGTTTCCTCAAATGAAGAGGGACGTGAAAGGACAGCAATTTGACTGTGTAGAAGAGGTGAAGAGAAAACGAAGGAGGTGCTGTCAGTCATCCAAACAGATGACTTTGAAAAATGTTTCCAAGAATGGAATCGCAGATATGACAAATGTATTAAGTGGAATGGAGAGTACTTTGAAGGTGGTAAGGTTGTTCTGTCAAAAAATGTAATACATAACTTTGTAAAAAAAAATCCATTTTTGGATTTTTTTTTAGTACCCCATCGTATGCTTGAGCACATTGTTGCAGCCACTGTGTCAACCCATCTTGATGAGGGCCTTCCTCTTCATCATTCTGCCTCTACTTGACCAAACACGATGTCCCTCTCCGGGGACTGGTCTCTCCTGGCAGCATGTCCAAAATATGTCAGTGTACTCTGGCCATACTTCTTCCAAGACAGATTTGTTTGTCCTTTTGGCAGTGCACGGGACTTTTAATGGTCTCTGAATGCACCGCAATTCAAATGCACAGACTCTTCCTTGGTCTTCCCTATCCCGTGTCTAACTCTTACACACAGAGGAAGCCGTTGACTATCCCATGACTTGGGGGTCAGCTGCACCACAGTCCTCACAGTAGCCTCCTTTTTCAACACACCAAAGAGTCTTGTGGAGCAGCTTTATCCACAAGCATGGATTATGGATCCAACCAAGAGGAAATCCTTGACCAGTTCGGTCTTTTCTCCAGGTGTTTCTCTGTGGTAACATGTTACCCTCAGAGCCCTTCTCCTCTGAGTGAAGTGTTTTGAGAAAGTGTTCCCAGCCCTGGGCCCACTGGGGTTTTTCCTGTTATCACCTTGATTAAATTGTTTTTCCTTCATTTGTTAAAACCTTTACTGACCCTTTTTAATACTTCCTCATTAGTTCTTTTTCTCCCTGTCTCTCCTCTGTCAACATCCTTCTTCCTTTTCTGATTAACCCCTCCCCTGAGACCCCGAGTTCTTGACAGGGCTTGTGGGATTAGGGAATCAGGAGGATGTTTTAGGAGAAAAAAACAAGAGCCCACATGCATGAAGCCAGCCCGATGGCGATCCGACATACAGCCAAAAGGAGGGAAAGAGAAATGTAGATGTGGAGAGACTTTTCTCCATCACCACGCTTTTTGGAATAAAGAGAAATGGTGAGCCACGAATCCTTTGCCAGAGAAATGACGGTGGAGCCGAGGATTGGGAAGATGAGTAGTGACATCCGCAAAAGCTCGAGCATGGAGCCCTAATAGGACCCTAGCCCTTTTGGGGGGATCTTTTCTTGAGCAGCCCTCGCCAAAGCTCTTCTGTGAATCTTCTAGGGAACGACTGAGACCGTGTTGATACCGTTATTTCTATTTAAATGCAGAAGAATCATGTTAACTAAGCCTAGTGTTGGACAGGATCGGTGGGTCTTATCTTTCCTAAGCCTTTCTCCATGCTAGGACATAACCCTATGGTTTCATTTATCTCTTAGGATGAACCCTTCCTGAGGACTCCCCGGAACAGCAACTACACGTACCCCACCAAGCCAGCCATTGAGGTAATCATAACCCCTGCCCACATCTGCCCCGCTCAGGCATAAATCATTTCCACTGCTTATCGCTGGCGCCACAGGGCAGGCTTCAGTGTGGTTTTTAAACAGGCATGGGCCTGTTTCACCTACTTAGAGCGGACATGTTACCAGAAAGGTTCCCAAACCACAGCGACCCAGGA